AAAAAATAGAAAACAATAGAATTAGCATAATTTAGCAGTAATTAGTGGTACTTATGTTGCATAGTTTTAGTGTCTGTACTCTAACTGGAAACAAGGTGAAGATAACTGGAAATAAGGTAGATTGCAAGATAGGAGTACTTCCTCTGGTACTAGCCAATCAGATCGCACGTTATACAGTATCTATCTTATAATGAAATATCGATTATTATCCATCTAGCGAGACTGAATTAAGTTGCTCATTACGATGATTATCTTTTTCTCTCTTTAATAGGAAAATTTCAATTTATCTCACAAATTAAATATCTATCTTCAAAATTGCGCACTAGAAATATTATATTAATATTATTATCAATATTTTACGCTAATTTAAAATAAGAAATAAAGCTCTATTAGAATCAAAASGCATTGTCTGATTTKTTGTTGTTGGTAAAGAAAGAATTGGGGTACCTATCGACCACTTATCAAACCTATAGCYTCTTATTCTTTGTTTCACTATACGTCACAGCRCTCATTTTGGAGGAACTTCAACAAAGGAATTCTCATCAGTATCTATTGTTCATCCCTCTAACATGGACTGCTTTCAGACGTTGTGCGCACTACGATCGCAATGCATGATTTTCTTCACATTGCTCGCCTCTATGAAAAACATGGCGGATCAAGTCGCAAGATAGTTGAGTTTCAAACTGAAATTTGTTCTTTATGACTCATATTTATCTGACAAACACGCAATCATTCAAAGCGATATCATTATCAATCTTCTCAAATGTATCCGATTGACGATAAAATATTTTTAGATTCTATAATTTTGAATTTGAGTTGATGCCCATACATTTTCAAAGTTTTGTGTGAAATTTTGCAGAGCTATTTCCTCTTTAGCCTGCGTAGCCAGGCGTTCCTAGTCACGCCGAGAGAGTTTGGGTCTGATATGAGATATTGATAAATGATTAATAGCTTTTTAACGTCAGTAACACTTGATGACAATGGATGATTAACAATCCTAAATTTTTGGCTATTCTACGTCTACTTTGAATAGGCTCTCGGGCATACATGTCTTTTGCAGTATCGCTTTTCCAACGACAGGAAAGATACGATATTATCAGTAGTGTTATGAGACAACATTTTTGTATTAAATCATTTCTAGTGAGTTCTAGAACGCTCCAGAATGTTCTGTAATATAGCCATCTGGTTATTATTGAATTCTACTTGTGCAGCAAATACCTCGTTTTGACCTACTCATGATTAGACTTAAGACAAAATATCCGTTTCATACAATACGTCTTCGTTAGCTGTTTCAAACTTTGCATAAGTTCTAAGACATCCTTTCCAAACAAGCTAGGTTATTATTTTATAGGTTTTCCACACTAGTTTGCCTGGATTATATAGGTTTTCCACACTAGTTTGCCTGGATTATATGAACTCTAGCTCTTTTTAAATACTAGTTGCGATTTGTAAAAAAAAAGCACAGGGAAAATACTGATTGTATGTAATATGGCGAAGACGCGATTAAACCAGACTCGTACCACCATTTCTCTTCGCCACATGGTGCCGAAACTCACCCTTAACAATAGTTAAGGCATTCAAGAAAATAAGCTTACCGCTCAGAGGGTCAAACCTTTTATTTACCAAAGCTGTTACTTGCCAAAAAGACACGAATTTTTTATTAGCATGCATCAAAAAATCCGAAAGATTTTTGGTTGAAAAGCAAAAAAAAATAAAATAAAATAAAATAAAATTTCATGGTTACCTTCAAATAGTTATTTTTTCATGGAATAGAAAAAGATTATCTCGGAAAAATCGGAGGTCGGTGAAGAAGACATGATTTGATTTTAAAGCGTTATATTTTTACATTGATTTCATGATTACATTTTGTTTTCAAAATCTTGGTTAGTAGCTGATTCACTGTAACGAAAGCAAAACGAGAAAAATTGAGATGTAATTCATTAACCAAAAAAATCA